TAAATACATGACTGTCACTGGAAAAAGACAAATTAATAAATGGATTTTACATTAAAACTTGTGGAAATAACTTCCTGGCACAGGCCATAAGCAAGGAGCAAATCACACCTGGGGGCAAAGCCCTGTTGGGAAAGAACTGTGCATGTAAAGGAAGTCATGCAAGCAGTTTACCCAGGTTGCCTGTTGTCTCCATCACAGGACCATTTACGCCACCAGAGGAAGATCAGGCGCTAAAAGGACAGCCCAAGAAATAGGCAACATGGCTTATGTGGTTGCCTTTATGTGACTGAGCAAGGCAACAGGATTGGGCCCTTTGTGAACACCTTCTCCATCTCACCCCCCCCCCAAAAAAAGTACAAGAGAGTCTATGATGGGGCATTAATGAGCTGGAAAAGGTGCTTTTAGAAACCATTCTGCTACCTGTACTTGGAGACTAATTTTCAAAGTCCCAAGTTTGAACTCCAGCAGAAGACCAGACATGGACAAGCCGGGTGAGATGCAACCCAACTGTATTTGGTCAAATAAGCTGGGGAATTCCCTTAAAGCAGAGAAGTCCCTGAATATAATCTATGGGATACATTTATACAATTCTAATGGAGTTATCAAAGAAACACAATGATTGAGAACAATATTATATTATTGTTAAATTTCCAAAACAAAAACAAATACAAAAATACAAAATACAGTACTTACTAATACACTCTAAACCACAGTGCTCCCCCATATGCATGGGACCCTTTGGAACAATAATTTTAATATGAACCTCCTTTCCAAAATTGTATTAATTGTTGCTTAGAGGCCTTCCCCTTTCCTTTCACTAATACAAATCCAACAAATCAATCCCAAATAGCATTAAAATATTTAAACTTATTTCCCCTCTTTTCATCTTAAGTTCAGTAGTCAATTTATCATTTAACGCAATGTTATATACCAATCATTATATACCAATGTCATTATACCAATCTTCTAATTTAATATCATTTTTATCTTTCCAGAATCTAACTATTAATATTCTAGCACTTGTCATAAAATTGGAAATCAATTCCTTTGAGCAATAATCAAGTTCTATCTTATCAAAAATTGACAACAAAGCTATTTTAGAATAGCATTCGATATCTTTTCCAAATATACCACGTATTTCCTTAAAAATCAATTTCCAAAATTTCTGAATCCGTTTACACTCCCACCACATATGATAACACTTGCCGATTTCTTCATCACATTTCCAGCAGGCCTTAGAATAGTCTGAATTTATTATGTTCAGTTTCACTAGAGTCATGTACCACCTTAAACTACTTTTTAAAAATTTCCTTTATTCTTACTGATATTGATCTTAAAACTCTCATCTTCCAAATTTTTGTCCATTCATCTGTTTTAATTTCTGTCTTTAAATCATGTTCTCAAATTGATTTCAAACCTTCTATTTCAGTCTCTTTTTCCTCTTGTTCAAAAATTAGGTTATAAATTCTACTTAATACTCCCTTCCTCAAAGCATCTTTCTGCATGTCTTCATGTGATAATAGAAATTGTTCATATTTAGTACATTCTCTACATTTGCCATTAGTCTTCAACCATTCATTTGTCCTATTATCTAAATGGATATAATTATACCATGATAATCTATTCGTTCAAAGTTTAACTATAATCTGATCCTTCGATCTCATTTTAATAATCCAGTCCTTCAATCTGGCAACTTTTTTTATCCTTAAACAAATCAGCTAAACCCTTCACATTTGCTGGGAAATTTTCTATTTTGGTCACTAATTTTAGTGGTGAAGTAAAGGGACATAACTTCTTTTTATTTCTGTTCCAAATATTTAGCATGTTTCTTTTAAATGGGTTATTCACCTGATTTATTGTATTTCTTTTTACTATGTTAAACAAATATATTTCAATGTTCCCATTAATTTCTGAGGATTCCATATCCCACCAAATTAACCTGCCTTTGTTGTATATAATATATCCAATAAATCTTAACTGATTTGCTATATAATAATTTTTTATATTAGAAATACCTAAACCACCAAATTTTTGAGCCTTATACCAATATCTTTTATTTATTCTTGATTTTTTACCTTGTAAGACCAGAGGTGAGAATAAGGTTCCTCTCACGGGAATGCCATCCCTCCCGCCTACTGCCGATAAAGAGAGTCAAACCCCACCAATTCCCCCACCCAGGAAGACAAAACCACCTGGACCTGACCCAAGGAGGATAGAGGAGGAGTTGAAAGGATTAACGGTCTGGACTGTTTTGGCGGGAACAGGAAGAAAAGTGCGGGTAGTAGTGGAGGCAGGACGAGCAGACATAAAAGGGGGTGAAGGAGGGCTTCCACCAGGCTGGGAGTGGATGTGGGGAGAAGGTCCCTGGACTGGAAAGGTGGAGAAGCTAAGAGTGCCAAAAGAGGAGGCCAATGCCAGGAAGAGAGAAAACACCCCTGAGTCATCATACTGGGGAGAAAGGGAGACAAAGGAGTGGTGGAGAAAATTGAGGGAGGAGAAAGAGAAGGTTGAAAGAGAGAGAAGGGAGAGATTGGAATTGAGACTCTGGGAGACGCAGCAGACAGAATAATGGGAAGACCCTGGCAGATGATTGATCCCGTCCGAGAGCTTGCTGGGTGGACAATAGAGACAAGGACACAATCCCCTTGTTGGAGGGGGAGAACGGATTGCTATTAAATCCGGGTGCATCCCTGGACTGGCTGGGACCCTGGAACGTTCAAGAGGGAAACCCCTTTTAAAGTTGATGAATAGAAACCCCTGTCAGACCCGTTTGTTTGAGAGGGGGGAGGATTGGAACACATTTGCTGATACTGGATTTTTGTTAAATAATGCAATAAATATTATTCCAATTTCGAAACCACACAAGTCTGGTGATTTATTCAGGGCAACTCAGGAGCCAGGAAGCAAACCCTCACATACCTTGATTACAAAATCCATTAATTAATCCATGCCAATACTAAAAATCTTCTTCTTCAAATTGAATTGGGAGCATCCTGAAGAAAAAAGTAATTTTGGTAACATTTTCATTTTAATCCTGGCGATTCTCCCAAACCACAAGAATTTAAATTTAGAATACTCCTGCAATTTCTCTTTAATATCACTTTTTAATTTATTAAAGTTTTGCTCCTTTAATTTTTGAGTCACTCCAACTGCATTTATACCTAAATATTAAATATAATTACACATTTTAACACCATATTTATTTACAAACATTTCTTCTTCAGATCTGTTATAATTAAACATCATTATTTGTGGGGTGTTTTTTTTGCCAATTGTTAGTCTTGTTATTTCCCCAAATTTTTCTAAAGGATTTTTAATAACATCATATATATGTTGCTATCTAGCCAATGTGCTCTAGAAAATGCTGGTGGAAATGTGTGAAGTGTTGCATCCTTGCAATGTCTTCTCATATCCCCCATTTTTTCCTGTTCTCTTTCTCCCCGGCAGGGACAGCACTGCAATAGTGGGTTTTGTTTTTTGTTTGTTTGTTTTTTTGCAAAACTAAAGTTTTTCTGCCAAACTTTTCTGCAAAAGTACATTTTTTCCTGTTCTCTTTCTCCCCGGCAGAGACAGCACTGCAATAGCGGAGGTTTTTTTTTTTCTGCAAAACTTTTCTGCAAAAGTAAAGGAGCAGGGCTTCTGGTTTCCTTTCCGTCTGGCTGCCACCCTAATCTGATCCTCCACTCTGTACAGTATATGAAAGTAATGCTTACACTAAAGCTGACACTAAAGCTTACTGCAGCTGGTTCATTTGCATATTTACTTGGTGACATGCAAAGTTGTGCTGTACTGTCATCTTTGCAGGCTTCCCCACAGGTGTGCTCACCGAGACAAAGCAGGGGACCAACATAGAGAAGGTTTATCTGAATGGTTGCCCCCCCACAACACATTTCTCAAAGAAATATTCCACTATTGACAACAACACTGTAATTTTCAGTACAGTATCTGGCAACTTTAATATCAACACATCCCACGTTTTTAAAGATACTGTTACTGTATTGTTAAAACGGTATAGTGTCTGTTTTGATCACACTTTTGTAAGCGACTCAGAAAGTATCTTGGGGATTTTAAACAGGGGTGAATAAAAACCATTGTTATTCCCTTCACGGAAAGAGCGTGAAAACAGGTTCAACAGTTTGGTCAGTTTGGGAAGTGGAAGAACATCAACTCAGTATCTAACATTTGTTTGTTAAATCTATATCTACCGTCATTATCGTCGTCGTCATGTTAGAACTGCAGAGCTGGAAGGGACCCTATGAAGTTCAGCCCCCCCCCCCCGTCAAGGAGGCCCAGTGGGGAACCGAACTCGGGAACTCTAAGCTCCGTCCCTAAACCACTGAGCTATCTAGTCATTCGGTTTTCGCGTAGCACCCGTTTTGTATTAATCGTATTGAAATGTTTTAAGGGTTGCACGCTGGTATATGGCCAACGAAATGAAAAATCTACATTGACAATGTCTGTGGTACCTAACATTTGCTAAATATGTGTTTATATTTCTTGGGTTTCCTACAGCACTCGTTTTGTGTTAATACTCCTAATAAGGATCTTGGCTAACATGCTGTCCATCTCTCATGATATGTTCCTACTGTACTATGTTTATTAATGTTAGTGGGTTTTGGGGTGCGACGTTGATGCGTGGTTAATAAAACGGCGCTTCGCCGGGCACACACCGCTGATCGCCACGGTCACACGTTTCAAACACTCCCAAGCGCAACTGCTTGCAACGTCGCACATCCGTCCGAAAGTGGTTGGAAAAGTTGCGACCCTTCCCGAACAGCTGGAGGGCGGCCAGGTTTCTATTCCTCGGAATTACGTCCCCCCGCTTGCCCAAGAAAAGGCGGGCAGCTCCGCCCCCGCGGCTCTTCCCGCTCCGGATCCAAGCGCGGCTCAAAGAAAGCCTCGGCGGGCGCGAAGCGGAGTGGAAGAGAG